TCTCCCCAGGAGCACGGCATTCCCACAGACATGGGCTACGCGGTGGCGCCCCACCACTCGGGTGTGTACCCCGTGCACGTGCAGCTGTACGAGGCCTGGAAGCAGGTATGGAGCATCCGCGTGACCAGCACGGAGGAGTACCCCCACCTGAAGCCAGCCCGCTACCGCCGCGGCTTCATCCACAACGGCATCATGGTAAGCGGGCCCCCGGCAGCCTGGGAGGTGGGAGGACAGTGGGCACAGCCTGTCCAGTGCACGCGTGTGCGCATGTGTATATGTGTGCACCCATGCACTGTCCTGGGACGCGCGGCTTAGGGGCTGCAGACCAGTTTCTGCTGCCTCCCCTGGCATCTGTGGCTCTCTGCCCCAGGGAAGGTGGGCTGCCAGTCCAGCCCCTTTCATGAGCTCCTTCAAAGCTTTCGTGACAGGATCAAGGAGTGAGCACTCTTGAAAGGGGTTTCTGATGCGGACGCGGCACAGGGCTCTGCTGCGTTCATTTGTTTATTCATTTAAAGATGCTTCTTGAGCTGCTACTATGCATCTGTCCACTCGCTAGGCACTGGGGACGCAGAAGTACACAAAACTGAGAAACTTCCTGCCCCTGCAGACCTGACATGCTAGGGCAGGAGACACAGTGTGCTCACGCATGCGTAAAGTATGGTCTGGTGGTGATAAGTGTTGTGAGGAAAAGTCAGCAGGAAAAGGGGATAAGGAGTGTGGTGGGGAGAGGAGAGGGGGGAGAGGAGGGGCTGTTTTGTGTTTTTTAGAAGCAGGGTCTCACTCTGTCACTTAGGTCAGAGAACAGTGATGTAATCATAGCTCACTGCAGCCTCAAGCACCTGTCCTCAAGTGATCCTCTCACCTTGGCCTCCCAAAGTGCTGGGATTACAGGGATGGGCAACCGCATCCAACCAGGAGAAGCTATTTTAAATAAGGTGGTTAGGAAGGCCTTTGTAGGAATGAGCCACGCTGCTATATAGGCAAGAGCATTCAAGGCAGTGAAAACAGCAAGTGCAAAGGCCCTGAGGCAGGCTGTGCTGGGTGTGTTCAAGGGCCAATTAGAAGGTCAGTATGGCTGGGGGGCAGCAAGTCAGGGGAGGTAGGTAGCTGAGGACAGAGGGGTGATGTGCCAGATTGTTAGGGCCAGTAAGGCCAGCCAGTGGACTTCATCTTTTAGTCTGAGATGGGAAGGTTGTGAATGGAGCATGATCTGACTGGTCTTTTAAAAGGACTTCTATCCTTCTGGCTGTTGTGTGGAGCAGAGACTGTTGGGGATGAAAGTTGAAGCAGGGGACCAGTTCGGAAGCACTGCAGTAGGACCCGGGGCACAGTGTTGGGGCGTGGTCATGTTCTGGACTTGGAATGGTTAGAGCCAATGAGTTAGATGAGTGGGAGACAGGCTGTGGGGGAGAGAGGGGAGTCGAGCATGACTTTAAGGGTTTTAGCCTGAGGCGCTGGAAGGGTGAGTTGTCCTCGGTTGGGTGCCAGCTATGGGAAGGCCAGGTTTGTGCCCCCACCCACGCACCCACTGACCTCCGCAGTACTGGGCACTTGTGTGAGCCCCAGGGATGAGGTGGTGACAAGGCAGGCTTGTTCCTTGCTCCCTTGGAGCCTACAGTTTCGGGGGGGAAGACAGACAACAAACGCTAACCCAGAGCGTGACCACAAGGCCAACAGCGAGGTTCGAATGCTATGAGGGGGCTTGCAGGGCGCACCCAGGAGCTGCTTTAGAGAGGACCAGGGATCTTTGCTGCAAATGGTCCAAGTTGCCAGAAATATTCCCACGCTGTTACTCTGGGGCCTGCTCATTTTGTGCAGAGCACAGCAGTGAAGTTGGTAAAGTAGCAAGGGCCTGTGGCTCGCGTGGGGGAATGTCGAAGGCTGTGGAGAGTCTTTGGGGGCTGTGCGGCCATGTGGAGTCTGCCTTTCTGAGGAGACACCCTGGCCCTTCTCCTGAGGAAGGGTCCTCCCGCCATCGTCCATGCCCGGAGACGCCATAGCTCCTCTTGCCCGCCCCGTTCCCAGGTCCTCCCGAGGCAGACCTGCGGCCTCTTCACACACACCATCTTCTACAACGAGTACCCTGGTGGCTCCAGCGAGCTGGACAAGATCATCAATGGGGGCGAACTCTTCCTCACCGTGCTCCTCAATCCTGTGAGTGCTCCACAGCGCAGCTGGTGGTGCAGGGGGCAGCTGGACAGCCCGTCCGCGGCCGATGCAGGCTTTCCGGAGCCGGGAAAGGACGGAGAGGCACGAGGGAGGGCCTAGCAGTTGGGAGACCTGCTCTCCCCAGCCCTGCCCGTGTCCTGCCCCTGCCGTGTGACCTTGGCTAAAGGATCTGAGCTTGCTTTTTAAACTTTAATACAGAAGTGTTTGCATTTTTGTGCATGTTCCCTTTCCTGTGCCCTCGCCCCCCCCCGATTTACAAAACAAAACACAAATAGCTCCCACATCAGGTCCACGTCCCATTTCTGGGTTCACGGCTGGCTATGTCCAGTCCAAGGTCATACAGAGAGTTTGTTGGTGGCCCCAGGATACCTTGCCCTGGTCACTGGGCAGCCCCGCATGCTGAGGTAGGGTCAGAAGGGTCAGAGGTGGGGTGAGGGTGTCTCAGATGCTGACCAGCCCCTGCCTCTCTCCTCCCCTCCCCTGGAGCAGATCAGCATCTTCATGACACACCTGTCCAACTACGGGAACGACCGCCTGGGCCTGTACACCTTCAAGCACCTGGTGCGCTTCCTGCACTCCTGGACCAACCTCCGGCTGCAGACGCTGCCCCCCGTGCAGCTGGCCCAGAAGTACTTCCAGATCTTCTCTGAGGAGAAGGACCCGCTCTGGCAGGTGGGGGGCCGGGCAGCCTGGGCACCTTGCGGCTGGGATGGAATGCCCACTGCTCACAGGCACGTGATCTAGGCATGGGCTCAAGGCTTGGCCCCTACACCCACGCTCTCTCTTGAATGTAAACTTGGGCACATTTGCTCACCAATGTGGGCATACTGGCTCCTGTGCAGACATATGTGTACATGTATGTATGTGTACACACCTCCCCACACAGACCTGCATGCATGCACACTCATGCACAGCCTTGGGGGAAAACAGTCTTAAAAAACTGAGTGAACGCAGTGTAGGTGACATGGAGGAAGCGACTGCCCTGCCTCCGTTAGATGCTTTGATAATCACTTTTGCCCCCTTCTAACTCCAGCAGGCTCTGAGCTATTGGGAAGGGGACTGATGGGAGGATTTGGAGATAGTTCTTGGGAAAGTCTGCGCCTAGGGACTGTTAAAAACTGGAAGCAGAAGCTGGAATTGGTCTCACAGTTCCGACCAGGGATCCACAAAGCATGACTTACGGGCTAAATCCAGGCTGTGGTCTGTTTTTGTAAATAAAGGTTTATTGGAACACAGCCATGCTCCTTCTTGTATGTACTGGCTATGGCTGCTTTCATGTTATAATAGCAGAGCTGGGTGGTTGCAATAGAAACTGGATAGTAGCCAAAGCCTAAAATATTTACTAAACTTTTACTAAAAGATTTACTAAGCTCTATAGGAAAAGTGTGCAGACCCCTGGTTCAGATGCAGCTTGTTCAGTTAAATTCAACAAGTGCTCGTGAGTTCCTATTATGTGTCAAGCACAGGGCTGGGCATTTTTCCAGGCTCTTTGGGGGACATGTCAGCCACTCAGTGTCTGGAGGTGGGGCTGTGACAAGGACATATGTAGGTATTATGCCTGTCGGGGCTGTCGGAGCCACGTATCTATGTGCAGTGGGCGTCCATCCATTGGTTTCTTGGGGGCCCTCACTTCCCTTCCATGTTGTTTTAGGATCCCTGTGAGGACAAACGCCACAAAGACATCTGGTCCAAGGAGAAGACTTGTGACCGTTTCCCGAAGCTCCTCATCATTGGCCCCCAGAAAACAGGTAGGTCTCTTGTTCTTGGCTCAACTTCCCAACTTCCCCCACTGCCTGCTGTCTCAGCCACAGAATGCTGGAGAGCACCTCACCCTTGCCCACTCCCCAGTAATCTGCTCCCTCTTTCCCAGGAAGTAGGACTGAAGTTGGGGTGAACTGCCTTTCAGTATGGAGGTGGGAAGAGGGTAGAGGGTGGGCATGGAACCCTCTTATTCGTCCTGAATTGCAACCCCAGGGAGCTTTCCCTGTGTCCTCCTGGGAGTCTCTGAGTCTAGGCAGAGAAGCCCAGATCAGCTGCTCTGCAAGTTTGAGCAGTGCCAGGCAAAAGTAGTTCAGTGCAAAGAGTACTATGATCAACTAGTCATGTCTGCCAGAGGTGCAGGAAGAAGTATTGACCATCCACACAACCCTGCAAGGCACAAATGGGTACTCCCATTTTATAGCCAAGAAACTCAAGGCTCAGAGAAGTTAAGTGACTTCCCTTAACACATTTAGTTAGGTAATGGCAGTTCCAGGTCTTGAACCCTGGCCTCTGTGACCCCAAAGCTTATACTTTTAATTGCCAAACTCTATAGCCTCTTTCTCTTCTGGGCCCTCTTCACACCACAGGGAATGAATGAACTCCCCGAGAAGGAGGTAGGGTAAGGAGCATGGGCGGGGGGGCACCCGAAATAGGAGACATTGGAGCTCGATTTCTTAGGTCTTCAAGAATTTCACATTAACAGAACTGGAGGGTCATGAGCTCTGTTTTCCCCAAGCTCCTCCCAAGGACCAGAGAGGACAGAGGTTCAGAGCTGGAAAGGACCACCAGAAAGCATCTAGTTCAGGGATTCTGGGGAGACAGCAATCAGTTGGGCATGGCTGCGGAGTGCGGTGGTGAGAAGGATTTGGAAGCCAAGTCCTTGTTTAGTGATGAAGAATGCTGTGATGGATTAGTGACGTCTGCAGTGGGTACAGGAGTTAGGGTGTTCACATGCATGCTATGTGTTTGCCATCCTGGATTTAGTATAGTTCCTTTGTTATATGTATGATGAAATTAAGACCCAGAGAAGGGAAAGAACTTTCCCAGGATCTCCTAGTGGATAATGCAGAGCTAGGCCCAGAACCCAGATTCCATCTTTTTGTTGGGAGCTGGGCACTGGGTCTCAGCCACCTCCCCTCCCCATAGGCACCACAGCTCTCTACCTGTTCCTGGGCATGCACCCGGACCTAAGCAGCAACTACCCCAGCTCAGAGACCTTTGAGGAGATCCAGTTTTTTAACGGCCACAACTATCACAAAGGCATCGACTGGTGAGTGGACCTTTCTGTCCATTAGCAGGATAGGAAGGCCATCATGGAGCCTTCCCAGGGGGCCAGCTGTGGCCACAGCAGGAAGCAGCTGGTGCTTACTCACACGCAGCTGAAGTTCCTGTAAACAGGGACAAAGCACGGTGACCCTGAGTCATGGCATGAGATCATTGTCACGGATAGGACACTTGAGGAGGAAGCCCTTTGCACCTTTGCCTTGTCACCTGGGGCCAGAGACTGCTGCAGTCTGAGTCCCCTCCTCCCTTTCTTGCATAGAAACATCCTGAGTCCTAGGGGAGGAGTGGGAGGACTTGCGCAAGGTCCCCAGGTCTGCTGGGGACAGAGCAGGGGCTAAAGTACAAATGTCTGACCCTTCCCATCGTGTGAGCTGGCCCTTCCTGCTGCATGTATCCTGCATGTGGCTGGTGGTGGAGCAGGTGTCCTGGTGGGTCCCTCAGAGGCAGCTCGCCGGCCTTAAGGTATCATCTAGGGAGGTGGTGAAAATGGTGGCTTTCCACCGGAACCTGTCAGCAGAGGTTACCTTAAGGGTGTGGGGGCCAGTGCAGAGATGACTTTCCTCTCCAGCTTTTCAACTTGCATCTTTCTCTACCATTTGCCTTTTTAAACCTTGTGCATATCTTACCATTATTTATTTATTTTATGTCAGTGGGTTACCTGGGTGGAGAGATTATGGGCCTTCTATTTGTTTGTTTTTTGGTATTTTTCTGTGTGTATTTCTCTTTTATCTGTCTTTCCATCCATCTGTCTGTCTGTCTGCCTGTGTATCTATCTATGTATCCATCCATCTGTATCTCTAATGTGTCCACAATCTCTTATCTAAAACCCATTGTGCCCAGGTGTATTATTGGAAGCCGTCAACATTTTTCAGATTTTAGACAGGTGATATGATATGAAACCATATATTTAGCAGCATCTTCAGCAGCACCTGGGGCAGCACCCATTAGCAAATACCTTAGTATGTCTGTAGCAAAGTGTGTGAATATTTACACTAAGTAAGATATTAATACGGCAGGTTTTGCTGCCAAATGGCTTTGCTACAAACTTAGGAAGCAAAGCTTCTGTTTTTGGAGTTTTCTCAGTTTAGATATTCCAAGTGAAAGATCGTGGACATACAAAGACAATTCATAAAGATGAGAGAGAGTGCAATTCCCTGGCCCCATTCCTGGGGTTTTGATTTTGTAGGTAGGTCTAAGGTGGGTCACAGGAATCTAACAAGCCCCCAGGTGACTCTGATAAAGGGGGTCCTTGGGGACACCCTGGGGAAACTCTGTTTCACAGGATAGAGGAGGGATCCTACAAACTCAATTAGGGTGGGCTTTGCTTCCCACAACCCCCCCGAAGTTGTACCCAAATTTTGCATAAATAGGTGCCCTCGGGAGGGTCTGGAGTGTTTTTGTTTTCAGAGGGTCTTTAATCCAGAGGGTACTACTGCCCGTACCCCACCTATCACTCCAGGTCGGGTATGGGCCTTAGTCTGGAAAGCTGTGCTCACCCACGGCAGGCTGGGGAGGGGATATGGGTGGCAGTAGGTGACCCCCTCTTGTCTCCTGGTCCACAGTGAGAGCCTAGAAAGTGCCATCCCAGGTCAGGAAAGAAGCTCCACCCTCCGGCAGGAGAAGGGGGCCTCCCTCTTCCCTGAGCTGGCCCTCCTGGGTCAGCCAGCCACAGAGCCGCTCTAAGCCCCAGCGCGCCCCCTGGAGGCAGAGAGAGTTAGAACCCTGTCCACGTAGCTGCAGGAGCATGGGGGTTGGGGGGCAGGATCTGGGGTTTAGGACTGAATGACAACACCCCTCCCCGTGCCCTGCAGCCTGTGGCACACCTATGAGTCTTCAGACCCTCCAGACCCCACAACGGCCCCTGCAAAGGAACGGATTTGGAACAGGGAGACTGCCCAGTGGCCATTCCCCTCTAGCATCCCTGCCAGAGTGAGTCCTTGTTGGACTGGGAGCAGCGTGCCCCGCTTGCTTTCTGAGGAAGCGTCACCCTCTCATGCTGCGTTCCCCAGGCCCCTTCCTCATGAGTCTTGCCTGTGAGCCCCGCTCTCTGGGCTTCCTGCAGGTACATGGAGTTCTTCCCTATCCCTTCCAACACCACCTCCGACTTCTACTTTGAGAAAAGCGCCAACTACTTCGATTCAGAAGTGGCGCCGCGGCGGGCAGCAGCCCTTTTGCCCAAGGCCAAGGTCCTGACCATCCTCATCAACCCAGCGGACCGGGCCTATTCCTGGTACCAGGTGAGTGGGGCTGGGGAGGTCTCTCTGAGTGGAGGATGCGTGGCTTTGTCTGACACTCAGTTACTCATTCACTTAACAAATATTTATTAAGCACCTACCGTATTCGGGCTCTGCGTGAGGCACCTGGAATGTGGTGGTGGGTAAGAACGGAGTCCCACCTCCATGGCGCTTCTAGCCTGGTAGAGGACACAGCAATTGATGGCAAAAGCCCTCCGCCGGTTAACCACCCTGCCCCCCAAGCTTCACGTGTGGTCCCGCCCTGATTCTGGAACTCACAGGAGGTGGGGTCCGGATGAACCTTGAGGAAGCGTAGATTTGGTGAACAGTGGTCTGGGCTCATGCTGACTGCAGCTTCCTTGCTGCACACTGGGGTGGGGCGCGGTGGGGTGGGAGCTCGGGCGACGGGACACAGGACCTGCTATCTTAGTGGAGGATGCAAACGCCTGATCAGGTGAGGGGTTACCTGGACTGCGGTACATGCTAGAGGTATGACTCGTAGTCCCTGCTTGAGACACACAAGAAGCAGAACTTTCTTTAACTTCTATGACCTGAATTAATTTACTCTGAGTGCCAGCCCACTGGGCTTAAAGGAACAGTGTCAGGCCTTTCGTGGGGGTGGGAGCGAGTCCCTCGCCTGGCTGTCAGTCTTCCTGGGATTATGCCCCACCGCCGAGTATTTTGAATCAGAAGTGGCGCCCTAGCAGGCAGCTGCCCTGTTGTCCAAGGCCAAAGTCCTGACCATCCTCATCAACCCAGCAGACTGGGCGTCTTCCTGGTGTTGGGGGCACCTGGGCTTTAGCCCACGGTTACCTGAGGTGCCCACTCTCCTGGTTAGGAAGGCCCCTTCAGGCTTGGCCACTTCTGGTAGCTCCCTGCCCCACTTTGGGCCTCTTCACTTGGGTACTTCAGTGGCTGCTCCTGTTTGGGGCGTCACCGTGTGCCCCGCAGTGCTGGCAGGAGGCAGGTGCAGAAGCTCTTTGCTCCCGGTCCCGCAGGACTCTCTCCCCCGTCCTGTCACTCCTGGAGCCTGATGGGGAAGCTCTCGCTTCCTCTTACACCCCAGGGCTCCTGTTTATGCCCTGAGGCCTTTTCTTTAGGGGAGAAAAGCTCAGAAACACGCATAGGGCATTTCTCTCTTCTGCGGTGCCGTGTGCCCCCACCTCCCAGCAGTGAGCAGAGAGCTATCTCCTGGGGTGGTTTGTGTGTGTCCCCTTCTCGCAGATGAGAAAATCAACATTCAGCAAATTTCATGTGGCATTGTGAATCCAGGTCTTCTAAATCTAAGACCCTATTCTTTCTTCTGTCCACAGCCAAGAGGGGTGAGGGAGATAAGGAGAAGAGACTAGTTCCCACCAGGAGGGTGTAGGAAGGTGCTGGAAGGATGGTGGTGGCCTGTCTCAGAAGGAGGTCGGGATGAAGAGGGGGCTGCTGTGCACCATTATTGCCCCTGCCCTGGGCTGTGTGGGCTCCTCGGTGGAGGGGGGTTGGCTGGTGAGGGGGTTGGCTGGTGACGGTCTTGCCCAAACTCTGGACTTTGAGAATTCTGCAGGTTCTGACGACCCATGGCATTAGTTTAGGTGGTTCAGACTTAGCATTTTCCCATTTACAGTTCTTTCCCAATCCTTCTGATTTCAGAAAGGAAAAATGCTCAATTTGGTTCAAGTGGCTCTTTTGTCCTTTCTAACACCGCTAAGCTCTGTTTTCAATAAATAGAATACAGGCTTTGGGTTCAGGGCCTGTAGCAGACATTTGTATCTGGCTGGAGTTTGAGACATTGCTTTGTTTTTCTCCATTTATCAATGGTTGTGTTCTATGTGTGATAACTGATCCTAGTTTTCTATTTATGGAGGTGATATTGAGTTTTCTTTTGAAATAAATTTTTATGAAAAAGGTAGGTCAGTATAAAGAGAATTATGTGGACATTGGCACATACAAGTGGTTTGTGGATATGGCAGAAAACACAGAGGTGGGGTACAAATGATGGATGTTTATTGTAAGCCCTGATTTGGTCCAACTCCTGTCGTGCAGAGATGGGGAAATGGGGCCAGTGGCTTCCCTGAGGCCAGACAGCAGAGAGGCAGAGCCAGGACTTGAACCCAGAGCTCCTGGTTCCAGCCCAGGGTCTGTCTACCTCATGGTGTCCCACAAAGGCCACTTCCTTTGTGCCTTCCATGTGACATGCCGACCTTCTCCCCTTGCCTGCAGCACCAGCGAGCCCATGATGACCCAGTGGCCCTGAAGTACACCTTCCATGAGGTGATCACGGCCAGCCCTGATGCGTCCTCAAAGCTGCGCGCCCTCCAGAACCGCTGCTTGGTCCCCGGCTGGTACGCCACCCACATCGAGCGCTGGCTCAGCGCCTTTCACGCCAACCAGGTAGCTGCCCGTCCCTGCCCCCTGGGAGGCAATCACAGTGCTGGCTTGTTGTAGCGAGCAGAAAGCCCAGAATCTCTCTCACCAGTCCTGGGGCTACAAATGCCCTCACTGGAGACTTAGACCTTTGGGCCTCTAAAAAGGTTTTAGCCCTGTTTACCCTAGGTTGATTCATGAGAACTCCCCAAGCCCATGTCCCATCGCCATAGGCTCTGGAGCCCTAAGGGGACCAGAAATCCCTGGGGTGGGCAGCTGGGAGCGAGGAGACTGGGAGGAAGAGCCTGGTTGGAGGGGTAGGCAGGGGCTAGATCACATGAGGTCTTTCAGGGAAACATTTGGAGCGTCTGAGCAGGAGACGTGCGGGCCTGAAGCTCGGAGAGAGGCTGGAAGAGAGATGTATGGCTAGGAGGGGTAGGCAGGGTTTTGGTGATAGCTTAAATTCTAAGAGAGGATGACATCGGGCAAGGGAAGCGGGCAGGGAGTTAGACCACAGAGGACTGAGGCTTGGAGATACCTGTTATCCAGCCGCAGAGGGAGAAGCAGATTCTAGAGAGTGCAGGGTCCCAAGTTTGTAAGCAGGGCCGTTCCTGCTGCTGTGGCTGCTGTCCCTGTTTGCCGCTAGAATGGAAGCAGGTCCAGATCGCCTTTCTCTTTTTCCTTCTTTCCAGATTCTGGTCTTGGATGGCAAACTGCTGCGAACAGAACCTGCCAAAGTGATGGACACAGTGCAGAAGTTCCTTGGGGTGACCAACACCATTGACTACCACAAAACTTTGGCGTGAGTGTTGTCTTGGCCTTTCATCAGGGCAATTTCCGTGATCAGGCACCTGGGCCAGAAAGCCAAAGGCTTGAATAGTTATGGGAAAGACACGGGTTCATTAGTAAGTGTGAAATTTTATTAATATGACATAAGTCATATTAATAAAGGTATCAACTTAAGAAAAAAGGAAGTAATTAATCTGTCCTACTCTGGTCAGCCCACCCTGGGGTGTTCTCTTCAGTCTGGACTGAACATTTTTAGAGTGTTTTATCTAAATAAGTTAGACCAGCAGTGAGCAGCCTCGATTCCCACAGGCTTTCTTACTGTTAGATTTTGACTTAAAATATAATTTCAGGAAAAGGAAACCACACATGTAATTGTTGTGGCTGATAATCTCATTCACTGAGAACCTGGTACAAGCGCACTGACAATGCCCTCCCGTGATGCGCAAGTGCCCGCCTGCATCGCAGGGGCCCAGGGCTGGGGAGAGGCTGCCCTCCAGTGCTGTGTCACAGGTCAGGCCGGGCGAGGGGCCTCAGGAGAAGGAGGAATGAAGTCACCCTCCCGACTCTGTTCTTGGGAAAGCCTTGCAGCAAGAACCTTCCTTTCTCACTGTCGTGGAAGTTGAAGGTGGAGAAGGGAGGGAAATCAGTCCTGCACCTGGAGGCAGAAAGGGGCACCTGCCAAGGGTGTGGCCATGGTGTCAGGGACGCCTGGGCTAGGGTCCCAGATCCATTTCCTTAGCCTTTCCAGCTTCACTGTCCTCATCTGTAAATGAGGATAAGGTAATAATTCCTGTGTCTGGAGGGTCACTGAATCGAATGAAAGCATGCATGTGAAGCTCTTAGCTCCGTGCATGTACTAAGTGCTCAATAAATGGTGGCTGCTATTATCTTTGTCATTGTCATCATCATCATCTATGCCTATCCTGTGACCCATTCAGAAATCCCTATCTCTTTCACCTGCCAGATTGTGAATTTTGTTTTCCTGACATCCTCATGCTCAAGGGTGTCCTAATGGCTCCTGATCTGGGCTGGATTCTGATATCAATATGCCTCCCCTCCCGGGACAGCTTCAGATCTCATATCCCCAAAATGCCTTCGAAGGTAGCACAATGTTGGATACGGAAGGCAGTCTTGCTCTGTCATTTCTTTTTTTTTTTTTTTTTTTTGAGACAGAGTCTCACTGCGTTGCACCGGCTAGAGTGCCGTGGCATCATCCTAGCTCACAGCAACCTCCAACTCCTGGGCTCAAGCGATCCTCCTGCCTCAGCCTCCCGAGTAGCTGGGACTACAGGCATGCACCACCATGCCCAGCTAATTTTTTCTACATATTTTTAGTTGTCCAGTTAATTTCTTTCTAATTTTAGTAGAGACGGGGTCTCGCTCTTGCTCAGGCTGGTTTTGAACTCCTGAGCTCAAACAATCCGCCTCCCTCGGCCTCCCAGAGAGCTAGGATTACAAGCATGAGCCACCGCGCTGCTCTGTCATTTCTGAAAGTTACTCCAAAAAATGAAACTCTCATGTGATAGGCATGCTTAAGCACAGCTGCCGATATTGCATTTCTTAGCTGGGCACAGTGGCTGATGCCTATCATCCTACCACTCTGGGAGGCTGAGGTGGGAGAATGGCTTGAGCTCAGGAATTCAAGACCAGCCTGAGCAAGAGCAAGACCCCGTCTCTACTAAAAATTAAAAAAATTAGCCGGGCATGGTGGCACATGCCTGTAGTGCCAGCTACTCGGGAGGCTGAGGCAGGAGGATCGCTTAAACCTAGGAATTTGAGGTTGCTGTGAGCTAGGCTGATACCACGGCACTCCAGCCTGGGGAACAGAATGAGACTGTTTCCAAAAAAATAAAAAAAAGACAGATATTGCATTTCTTGATAAAGATGCAGTTTATTAAAAAGCAAAAGAACTTTCACTGAGCTTTTTTTCTCCCCTGTTGTCACTTGACGCTGGGAGGGGTAAAGAAGTCTTCTTGGTTAAAAAAAAAAATGTTACTTACCACTAAATTAGAGACTGCTCGGAAAAGATTTCTCAGAATAATGAGGGATAGGAAAGTGTTTACTTCCTATCAGAGAAGGCCGCACAGCCCAGAGAAGGCTCAGAGTATGTGAGATGCCCTTTGCTGGGAGGAAGGGCAGGTGTGTCGGGTGTAGCCCGGGGAAGAGTGTGGGCCAACAGATGGCAAAGAGTAGCCCACCCGATGAGCATGGTGCAAGAGTGTGGGTAGGGGAGTAGATTCCCTGAACTGGGCTCTGCCATTCTTGGGGTGCATGAGCATTGCCTTAAGGTGGGAAGAGGATGGGCCGGGCCAGCTCTCATCCAGGGGCTTCCCCCTCCCCACCGCCCCACAGGTTTGATCCAAAGAAAGGATTTTGGTGCCAACTGCTCGAAGGAGGAAAAACCAAGTGTCTGGGCAAAAGCAAGGGCCGGAAATACCCAGAGATGGACTCGGATGTAAGTGGTGGACATACTACCTGTGGCAGCTGGGCGAGTGGAAGGGGTCTCTGAATGGGAGGAGCCTTTTCTTGGACAGTATTCTTTTTTTTTTTTTTTTTTCTGAGACAGAGTCTCACTTTGTTGCCCTGGCTAGAGTGAGTGCCGTGGCGTCAGCCTAGCTCACAGCAACCTCAGACTCCTGGGCTCAAGCAATCCTGCCTCAGCCTCCCGGGTAGCTGGGACTACAGGCATGCGCCACCATGCCCGGCTAATTTTTTATATATATATATATGTTTTTTTAGTTGTCCAGATCATTTCTTTCTATTTTTTGGTAGAGACAGGGTCTCACTCTTGCTCAGGCTGGTCTCGAACTCCTGACCTTGAGCGATCCACCCACCTCGGCCTCCCAGAGTGCTAGGATTACAGGCGTGAGCCACCGCGCCCGGCCTTGAACAGTATTCTTAAGAGGACGAAATATGGGCTGGAACATGGTGGGTCAGAATTGATTTAGTCAAACAAGTATTTATTACCTTCTACTAAAAGCTGAGTGCTGTGGGCTTTTTTTTTTTTTTTAATTTCAGAATATCACAGGGGTATACACATTTTGGTTACATGTATTGCTTTTGTACAGTTTGAGTCAGTGTTTTCTTTTGTTTTTTTAGAGATAGGGTCTTGCTCTGCCTCCCAGGCTGGAGCGCAGTGGGCTGGTTGTAGAAGGGGGTCGTGAGGATGTCAGACGTGGTCTCTGCCTTCAAGGAACTTCTAGTCTGGGAGGGGAGTCACACATGCCACTGAGTATGATAGAATACAAGGCAGAGAGTGCTTCGAGCAGTAAGAGAGGGGCACACGAGTGCTCTGGGGATTGAGAGCAAGGGGATGTCAATTGAAGCTGGGAGAGGTAAAGAAGGCTTCCCAAAGGAGGGGTGGCAGTGTCCAGAGTCGGGCCTGGAAGGATGGGGTTCATCCCATAGGATTTGGACCCGTGGAACGGGAGGACAGGCCATTCTTGAGGACAGAACAGCATGTGCAAAAACAGGGGAAGGGTCACAGACTGTGAATCTGTGGTGTTTCCCTTTTCCCGTTTGCCTCTGGTTGTGATTAATTCTCTCTCTTTTCTCCCTGTCACAAGAATTTTGACCTTGTGAGCTATATTTTGGTGCTCCTACTATACAGGAGTTTTCTATTGGAAGCTACCATTTAGAAGACAATTGTGAATAATTAAGAGGTGTATGGGATGGTGCCAACAGAGTGGTGGTTTGAAAGAGGGGGTCACTCTCGAGTCAGCACGTCACCGAGATCTGAGCTTTCCTTCCCGTTACAGTCCCGAGCCTTCCTGAAGGACTATTACCGGGACCATAACATCGAGCTTTCCAAGCTGCTGTACAAGATGGGCCAGACACTGCCCACCTGGCTGCGGGAAGACCTCCAGAACACCAGGTAGCCGTGGCCACCACAGCCAGACTGAATGTTTGTGATGGCAGGGACGTCCCGCCGCATGCTGAGCCAGACTGACCTGCGGAGTGGGGAGCAGGCCGGGGCCGGCCAAGCACTTATGAGCAATACTCCGCTGAGGCCCACGTGGGGCCAGGAGAAGAGCCCAGGCAGGTCCACAAGCGCCTCAGAACACCCACTGCCGGGTCTGTGGCCAACAGGACCTCCCAACCACCAGAGGTCCATTCTGCTCACAGCCTTTCCTGGGGAGGCCACTTCCTGTTGGTGGATGCCCATTTCCTGTTGGTGGATGGCCGCTTCCTGTTGGTGGACGGCCACTTCCTGGTAGGGGGAGTCCACAGACTCTCTTTTCTGTTCCTCACTGTGTTCTCCCAACCACCCCCTCTCCTTCATCCATCACTCCCTGCTCCGGCAGGGCATCCCCTCAGTATTAGCTGCCATATTTTCCCTGTCCTGACAATAAGGGAGAAGAGCCCAGCTGGGCCTTTTGCCAAACCAGGGAGAGAGACTGGACACTTCCCTGACTTGTTTCCAGCCAGGCTCTTCAAAGGGGTCAGCTGGATACCCAGGGTCAGCCACTAGGCTGGATGTGAGGGTGGCCACCTCGAGAGAACTCTGAACCTCCACATCTGGTTCATACGTCACATCTCACCTTCCCTTTTTGGGGAAAGTATCTCTGGTTCCTACCGTATCCACCCAGTCCCTAAGGCCTCCTGCAGGGCCCTAGGGCACTGCCATGCCATTTGGGCCCAGAGACCCAGGCCTCGGCTGGACCCCATCTTCACCCTGGGGTATGACGTGTGTGGTATTTCCTGTGGTAAAAGACCGAGACAGTTCAGGAGTCTGCCAGTATACGTGTTCCCCTGTACAGACGCGCCCCCACACCCACCCAGCCTCGGCTCCTGGCAGACGTGGGCAGAGCTGGTGAGACGCCAGCCACTGCTTTGCCCCAGCTTCCTGTGGCTGAGGGTTTCCAGAGACCCCCTTAACCTCCCAAATACTAAGAAGCTACAGTATTTTAATATTTTGTTTTTTTTTTTCTTGGTGCCAGAGTTTATACCCTGGGTGCTGGGGTCGCACTGTGTTTTTTATATATATATATAATGTGTATATATATATATATATATATTATATTTTTTTTGGTTGGGTTTGTTTTTAATTCAGTCGTACAAAATGGTGGTAAGCCCCAGTCTCAGGGGGTGTCCTATCTTAGTGCTAGAGAATGAGATGGAAGGGAGGGAGGGTGTGTCTTTATTTGTCTGGGCCTCAAGGAGACAGAACGAAGGTACCCTCAGAGAGGTCTCTCTTTGCTCTCCCCGGTGCCATGGCTGTCCTGGGGCTACCCTGGGTGAACAGAGGTGGTGAGACCTACTCTCTCCAGGAAATCTGGCTTCATGAAGCCCAGTGACCCTGGGGAAATTTTGGCCAAAGGAAACAGCCAGGGCTGGGGTAGGAGAGCTGGGGCCAAAGCTGGCCCGTCCCCTCTCCCTCACATGGTGCTAGGCTGGGAGCTGCTCTGGGAGTTGGGGTGCCCACCGGCACCCACAGCACTGTCTCCCGGCCCCTGTAGACAGTGGGATTTCTGGGCTGATTTCTGATTAGGGTCTGCTCCTCTCCCCCCTTAACAATGTGAAGTGACTGAGGCTGGGGTGCTTCTCCCCGGCCCCCTCCAACTGCCAGTTCAGCTTTGAATTGACACGCAGGAAGTACTTTCTGGAGAGCCTGCTTTGTTCAGAAGACTCTAGCATCTTGGGCTGGAAGGGTCCTTCGACGGGTATGAAGCAGGTCCAGTAAGCGGCGCCGGCCTGCTCGGCGGATGTCACGGAGCTGGCTGGGAGCAGGGCCAAGCCTCGAACCCGAGGCTCCCGATTCCGAGTCCAGTGCTCTTCTTCCAATGCCACACTGCCTCTGAGCCCTTCTGGGGACCCTGCTCTGTGCCAGGTTCCTGTCCCTCCCTCAATCACAACCGTGGTCATTCCAGAAAATGGGGACAAACCACTCCTTCCCAGCCAGGGTGCCTTTGAGCCTTCCCACCCCCGGGTGTGCACGCGCACTGCTGTCTTCTCCCCGCCTCGGAGGTCCTGCCCCAGCCCACGCGCCTGGGTCCCTTCTGAACTGATTGCCTTTTCTCAAGTTCTCCACTGGGGTGGAGAAGAAAGTCGGACACTCGCGGGGACCAGCTGCCTGTGGTTTCATTGTGTAGAGAGCGGTGCCCCCCCACGCTTCTCAGTGGGGCCTGCAAGCCTGGGAGCCTTGGGCGTTGTTGGCCCAGCAGGGACGAGGAGCGGGTGTCTGAGGACAGGGCGGCATGTCTGCTTGTACACTCGTGAAGGCTTGCCCGCACCGTGGAGCCAGACGACTTCCGCAGTGCAAACCCTGGGTAATTCAGGCTACGTGGGTTTTGCCTTGCGCGCTGACTTGACTTTGCGCTTTACTTCTTATCTGTCAGTGAGGGCGTCGGGCTCTGTGATCCGTGAAGACCTTACAGCTCCCACATTCTGAAATCCTCCCTCTGGGCCCGGGGGCTGCTTCCTTCTCTCAGAGCTTGGAATGCAGAGTCGGGCTGGCCTGGGGCTGGCCCTCCGTGGGCGGGCAGCTGCTCTTCTCTGTGCTCTGGCCTCGGGAAGGAGCGGGCAGGTGTGGGATCCTGTGAGAGCAGAGAGATGTTTTTGCCCAGGCCCTTCAGGGGCCTTGGGGACCGGACTTGCCACATGTCCCAAATCCATCTGTCTAGGGCGCTGCTGCTACTTCCCTTCCCACTCACAGATCTTTCCTGAGGGCCCACTAGGCCCAGACATCGCCGGGACCTGCAGGCATTGGGTGTGTCGGGGGCAGATAAGCTGCCCTAGGGGCTCTCAGCTACTAGGCACAGAGACACCCCTCCCGGGAAGAGAAGACCAGAGATGAGTGGGGCAGCGTGGTCAGTCTTTAATGTCCACAAATGCACCGTAAGCGTTTGGCCAAAAAAATAGAGAACTAGCTTCAGTTGTACAGGTGACTCCACCATCCACTCTGCAGCCCCCTCCACGAGCCTTTGCCTTGGGAGGGTGCGAGTGGGAGGCGTCACCTACAGCCGCCTCAGTTGTTGGGTTCTAGAACCTTCCATGATGCGGGCATCTTGCCACTCAGAGGATGAATGTGAAGCTTAAAGGTGGGGCCTTTTCCGAGCCCCTGTATACAAGCAGTCGGTGCTTCTGGGCCCAGCTGAGGAAGCTGGACTGACCCGCAGAGGTTGGTGGTCCCCACATGGAGTTGTGCCCACAGGCTTGTTAATGGGAAGAGCGAGTCCAAAAGTGTTTTACCGGACATTTTACTATGAACTCCGCTACCCAGCTTCTGGCTTTAAAATTATTAACATTTTGTCACATTTGTTTCTCTCTCATTCTGTACATATATATTTTTTTTCTGACCTAGTTTAAAAGTATGTTGCAAAGGTCGTGGGACTTTACCCCTGAAAGCTTCAGCCTGCATCTCCTGAGAGTTAGGCGTTTTCCCACATATTGGTCCAACCTCGCAGTCAAGACAACAAGTCATTTCCTAACAACAACTGCTACCCAGTCCGTATTCAAATTCCCCCCACTGTCCCCCAAATAACTTTCACCTGGTTTTGGAATCAGGCTCTGGTCAAGGTGCACACATTGCAGTTTTCTAGCTGTGTTTTTTAAATCTCCTCGAATGGTGAAAAGTCTTCCCTCTGCCCACTTTGCGTTTTTAAATGACATCGTTTTGAGACCAGCAGGCCTGCTGTCCCGTCGAAGTCCCACATTCCGGATTTGTGGGATTGTTCCCTCATAGTGTCACATAACCACTTCCTTGGTCCCCTGTGTTTTCAAGGGTGATTCAGGCTACATGGGTTTTTGCCTTTTGCGTTGACTTGACAGCTTCACTCCTGCCTAAGATGCGCCTCCACTGTCGCCTGTACCAAGTGCCAAACCAGCAGAGGAGCCAGTAGAGCTCCAGGAGCCCAGGGGAGGGCCAGGGAGGCTCCCTGGAGAAGGCAGCGTCACGCTGGGCCTGGGAAGGAGGGCAGGAGGGACGGAGGGCTCTCTGGAAGGAGGCTGGGCCAGGCAGCCTTGGGACCTGCTGGGAAGGCGATGTCGCTGGCTTGAGAGTGCCTACACTGCCCCCTTTGACCCTGGGGATGGGCCACAGGGCACCAAACACAGCATTTCTCTCCCTGTTTTATGGTCCCAGGGTTCTCACTTCCTAGAGGCCTGTGGTCTCTGCACTGGAGCAGAGCTGGGCCTCTGGGGTGCACTAGGGAAGGGCCTGCCCCAGCTGCCGTGTGAGGAGAGCACTGGGCCGGAGGCAGGAGCTGTGAGATCTCCCCGCGCGGTGCACTCAGTAGCAGCCTGACCATCTTCCTCCCAGGGCCTCTGCTCCCCATCTGTGGAACCAGCAGGTGGGGCAGCAGCAGGGTTTTCACACGTGCAGGAAGAAAGCAGCTCTGCCCTAGTTGAAGTGAGGATGGGGGCCCAGAACTGTCCCCCGCCCCAGGCCCTCAAAACAGCACTGGGTCCCTCTGGTTTGCCATCTCTGAGCCGGATGCTCTGGCCAGCTCAGACGGCCAGAGATTTTGTTAGTTCCCCCGAGAGACGGGCATTGGCTTTATGTGGGGTCAATGCCAAGGGCTTGGGGGAGACTCTGGCTGTGTGTTATCCTAAGAAGTTCATCCTTCCTGCTCTTCTTCCTCTTTCTGGCCCTAATGAGGGAGGAGAGGGTTTTCTATGACTGTGCTAGCTTTTATTATCAGCAAGAGGGCTCCTTTTGTAATTTGTGCATGAAATTCATGTCATTTCCTGGGGAGAGGAGAGGGCTGACTGGAGAGGGTGGGGGGCACACTAGGGGAGCAGGCAGAGGTTTCCTTCCCTTGTCGGGGGGTGGGGAAAGGGGTGGAGAGGGGGTGCTACCCAGCTCGCCTGTGAGGGCTCTCGAACCAGCCGTTTTGGGTTGTGTTAAAGGTGGGAACCTTCCTCCATTAATGTACAATCTCGAACTAACTGCTAATAAAGTGGGGTTCTGTTTGTACACATTGGTCCTATCTGTCTGTCTGTCTGTCTGACCTTTTTTGCAAGGCCTGCAGGGGAAGGTGGAGATAGGAGTGTTTGCATGCATGGCCAAAACCTGTCCCCCCAGTCCCCCACGCATGCACACACACACACGGTGACTTGGTCAAATCAGATCATTTCCACTGGGTTATAAATCGAAGCTCTTCCAGACATAGCAGAGGCATATCCCAGGGCAGCTGGATTGTTCAGAAGTGCTAGGGACGGAGCACTGGACTGAGAGGGGACTCAGGGGCAAGCACCATTTCTGCCACTAATGTATATTGTGACGCGGGGCAAGTTACTTTTACTTTCTGATCCTCAGTTTCCCTCTTTTAGGGGTGTGGAGGGAGATGGACTCAGTGACCTCACCTGGAGAACTTGCCCCCAATGCAGATTCCCAGGCCCACTTCCAGGGATTCAGCTCTAGCAGATGCGGGGTGGGGCTTAGCATGTGCATTTTAAACAAGCTCCCCGGCAGGTGAGGCACCCCACTTCGGGAAACCGGGGCTCAGATCGGTGGTTCCTATGGGTTCTAATTAGTGCCCCACTGTCCAAGAAAACCTTGGGCACAACAAATGACTTTCTAGCCCTCCCAGCCTGCCTGCGGGGTGGGGGTCACTGCTCCGCCAGCCATCTGCAGTGCACAGGTCGGGATGTGCTGCCTCAGCGTCCCTCGGGAAGCTTTAAAAGATGCACATTCCTGGGCTCTCCCAAACGTACTCAGTGAGAAACTCTGGGAGTAGGACCCAGCACTGTGCATTTTAACACACTCCCTGATGCTCAAGAAAATCTGGGAACACTGGATCAGGCCACCACATGTGTGAGCCTCAGAAGGTCCACAGAAATGTGCACAGACAGCTTGACGGGCTGCGGAGGGGCTGCTGGGGACACAGCCGGGGGGTCCTGGTTCCCAGGACCTGGGAGAGTGGACTGAGTGGTCAAAGCGAACATACCAAAATGCCAACCCCAATGGCACAAGGGTGGTGCCCGCAGAGAACTCTCTGGAGTTTGTAGGCTGGAAGCTCTGTGCAGGTCACCTGACCACCAGCAGGAAGAACACAGCTGGAGGCTGCATTAGCAGGAAGG